GCCTAGGCTGTCCCGTTGGTAGCGCTTTGCTGTCGTATATGCTGCCGTAGACGCGTTCCTGCGGTCGTGCCATGCGAAGAGTTTCCGCTGACGGCTTCAATCACTGAATGACGAAAGATCACCATACGGATAGTTGTCCGGATATCGAATGAAACGGGGCTGTCGCGTCGACGAAACCACCCCAAACGGCACGGTCGGATGGAAAGCATGCAACACGGCGGAGCCGCAAAAGATGACTCGGGCCCGGCGCCGCCGAGTATCGAGTCGATGCTCTTCTCTGTAGAGGTTTCCCAAAGCGGCCCTGCTTCGTACAAAGCAGCCGCCGTTCCACCGGGGCACGGATCGCATCACATTACGTTCGACATCACAATCTCGTTCGGTTTTCTCACGACGTGGACCGTGCAGCACCGGTACTCGAAAGTGCGGACGTTTGCCAAGGCATTGCGGTCCATTCTCCACGCCTCGTCGTCGTCGCGATGCACCGAGATCTCGGACAAATTGGTTGCTATCGTGAATGCCGGGTTGCCTTCGTCGCATCGGTTCCTGCATCTGCTGCAATCCCGACCGAGGTTCATCGCGACCCGCGCCATGGCCTTACAGTCGTACATTGAGGGTCTTCTCAATACCCACGCCCGATGCATCATGCAGTGTGGTGCCAACGCTGGCTCGGATTTTGCACGACCGATGTGCTACCTTGTCCAGCAAATTCAGACATTCCTCGGCATGGACAAAGAACCTTCCATTCTGCAAAACATTGGCGGGTACATCCGTCCTGCAGCGCATCAAGCTCCTCCTGGGATCGACGTCGACTCCATCACTCCATCTATCACGTCAGCCTCCAAAGCCACACAAGTGCCGTGACAATCGTGTGCTAGACTAGGTTTGACCACAAATACTACCTACCACACCATGCCATACTTCATGGAGGTACTTGCAAAGAGTCAACTGCACCGCAGCTCCTTGTGGCCGAACATTCGCACATCTCGTTCACATGAGGGCCACGTGTACGTATTCGATACGCTTCCGTCTATTATCCACAGCACGATGACTGTGCATCTCTGCCTAACAGAAACCTCTCCACTTGATGGAGCCGTCTCACGCGTTCAAGTCAAGAGTCGTCTGGCTTTATGATTTGAGCTCAAACTCCAACAGCGGGCCGCCGGCTGAGCTGAGTCCCTTCTTGCTCAAAATGCGACCGTGACGCTGGTCGTCGATACCGTTGGCATGCTCAAGGACGTTCTCATCCGTCCTTGGGCCGTGAGAATCGTCGAATGAGCTTGCGGTGGCATGAATGCCAAGCGTGGGGCACAAATTTGCTCGATTGAGGCAAATGGAGACGCGACACACTTGCATTCCTATCGGCCGCTGCAGGCAGACTGTGCCAGGACCGCAGGAACGTCGTCCCCTCGCCCTCGTTACATACCCAGCACTCGCACCCATCGAACGTCGCCGTGTGTGGCGGACAAAACCGCTTGATGTCAAGAGGAATAGAGTGCCTTCATCCTGCTTGCTTCGTCCTCTATGATGCGCTCAATGTGCTCCGTTAGAGTGATGCATGCGGTTTACTTCGGAAGGAAGGGCATGTAGGGGTGCCGACTGCCTGTCAACCCCATGCAGCTATAGGTTCTATCCGCGAACAGGACGAGACGCAGTGAAATCCTCCAGCCTTGGTCTTGACTTTTGTTTGTGCAGGAACAATCTGTCGGCTGCCACTGCCTTGGGCCCTTGCTTGAGTCCTCTAAGCAACCTGAATTGTCATAGACATGTAGCTGCAACAAGGCGCTGAGTTCCGCCGGCTTAGAGTACACCGAGGTTTCCTCCACGTCGAAGTCATCTCCTGTCGCCGAACTCTCGCAAACGTGTGCTAAAGCTGCAAGGCTGCATTGAGAGCAACACTGGGAGTGAGGTAGACGAGTGGTGAAAGACGGCCGAGGCTGGCACAAGTGGAATTGCACTGACGAGAGCTACCGACGACTGTAGTCGCAGTGAATTCACGCCCGTGACACCAGGACGCGTTGCTACACTCGCTACAGTTCGGGCAAGAGTCAGGTGTCCCGACAAGGCGTAGTTGGCACGCATGATGCGCACCGACCCGCCTAGCCACCTCACGTCAACTCCAACATCGTCAGTATGGTGTTAGGGAATAGCAAGGAATAGCCCTGGTATGCCGTCGTCAGCATCCTGGCGATGCCAGTGGAGAAGTACTCGGGGGGAATATCATCAGAGCACGTGCCCCCGTCGAACCAGAGTTTGCCATGACAGCAATACCATCACCGGGGGTGGCAAAGCAAAAGCATCTCCATTTCAATAACTTCGACATTCGTTGCAAAGGTGAAGCCGCCCCCGATTTAAATGGCCGCAAGCTTCTGTGTGCCGGCTGAGTCTCGGTGAGCCCATGAACTCACCCGCGACCCAGACATCGAGGGTGGGTTGAGGTGAAGCCAAGGGCGGACGAGGGCAGTTCTTACGACTGGTCTTGGTTGGTCGGCGAGCTCCACTCGGCTGGAGCTGTCCACGTGGTGTCGCCGGTCTCTTGGTTTACGTAGTAGAAAGCTTGGAATGTTTCGTCCCAAACTTGAGCCCAAACTTGTTTCGTCTCGTCTAGGTAGCTGTGGTCGTTGTTCCCGAAACTGGTTGTGGGTTCCAAATCGCGCTGCTGAGTCGTTTCTGGCAGCTCCGGTGGGCGCTCCCACGTCGTGGCTTGCGTGGCGGTGTGGTAATAGTACGAGTACCCAGACGCTTCGTCCATGCATTCGACCCACATCCCGAGCTTGAGCGCCTTGAGCTCTCGCTTGGCCATGATCGAGCGACCAAAGCATTGCAGCCGGACGATTGCGCGCTCGTTGGCTTTTTCGCGCTGGTTAGCACGCCACTTGTGTCTAGCTTGACGCCCCCAGTGGAGGCGCATGCCGTTTTGGATAGTCTGCGCACACGCATTCAACCGCACGTAGCGACGACGATACCACCGCGCGAGTCGAGTGGCTACGATTGTCTGTGCAAAGATGGCGATTTCCAGAGCTTGCAGTCGTTGTGCAGCGGCTCGCGCCAGCCGCTTGGCTACAGCCACACGGAGGTCTCGCCGGCGCCGGTACTGGCTCTGAATCTGGATCACTGCTCGAATCTTCCGGCGCTGTTTCATGTGCGAAATTGCTGCTTGCACTTTGCGCTCGTACTCGTCTTGCAACGCATGCAAGGTCTTGACAGCAGCATACACGCGAAACGCGCACTGAATCGTGATGGCGGCTGCAACCCTTCGACGCTACGCACGAAACCAAATCGTATCCAGTGTCGCCACAACGTTGACGAAGGCAAACAAACCTGCCGCAGCTCTGCGCGTGCGCAATGTTGGCGGTATGCGCACTGCACACGCAAAGCAGCGTCCTGCCGACGCTTGGCCCGTCGACGTTCGCGCTCTCGTCGGGCAATATGTTTTGCCACGCTGGCGCGAAAGTACCTTTGGATGGTTGTGGCAGCGGCCACCCTTTCACGCTTCCTTGACGCAACCGCGCGCCCGCAATAGCCTCGGTACACGCGTTGTATGGTACGGCTTGCGTGGTCGCGTTTCAATTCCAAGGCGACTTGACGCTGCGTGTCGACGAAGGCGACGTGACGGAGATACCTTGCATGCCACCAGCCTTGGATCTGGCAGGCTGCGGCTCTCCGCTTGTCGGCTCGCATCGTTGCCACAGTGTCGAGCTGTAAGTGGCAGCGGTACCTACGATAGAGTGAACCCCATGCACCGGCGCTACCTTGATGGACTCGAACCTGGCTTGAATGCGGGTCGCGGCACCCGTCCGTCGGCGAAACTCTGCCAATGTCCACGAATTATGATGACGGTTGTACACAAGCGAGTGCGTGACATAGCTACACGTGTGGCAGAACGATTGATTGCACGATGCGCAAACCCTCTGAATTGCGCGACCCGTGCACGTCGGGCAAACGCCGTGCTTCACCTTCTGCCGCACCGCGTACCCACGGTACGCGGCAGCGATCGCAGTCGCTTGGCGGTGTCGTGTGCGGTAGACATCAATCGGCAGGGTTTCCAGGCCACCGTAGCCGTCCATTGTTTGGCCCAGTGTTAAGGCGCATTCGGTGCACAGTTGCAAGCTGTACGCCACGGCAAACACTTGAGCCACGGCTTCGTCGCACTCCATGCAAGCCCCTTGGTGCCGAAGCCACCGCTTGAATGCCACACTGTCGCGTGCTCTGCGTCCTCGAAACGCGCATTGGATGGTCAGCGCTGCCTTGTCGCGAGCCCATTCGTGTTTACACGCCTGAAAGCGCTTGCGGGCCACGTGCTTCCGGAACGCGGCTTGAATTTGCGTTGCTTTTTTCGTCCGGCGTATTACGTGTATCATGTGCCGCCACTTCATTGCTCGGTACCAAGCCCCAATAGTGTTGGCCGTCCGGCGTTCAAGGAGCTCCCGCCGCCGTCGAGGGACTAGCACTGCGCGCGCTACATACCCTCGTCCCACTCGTTGGATTCGAATCGCAGCAACCTGTCGACGACACCCACGGCACCATGCGTGGTAAAACTGCCGAACGCAGTACGCTCGATACGCATTTTGTACGATGATGGCAGCGGTGGTGGCGACTCGAATGCGAGTTGCTAGCCAGGCGAACTTGCGAGCCACGTAGTTTCGCCACGCACGGCGAAGGGTACGTTGGCTGCGGCATTGCGCGACCAGTTTCACGATGGCCCATTGAAATTTGCATACTTGGTATGCATGCCAGCGCTCCTGCACGACTTGCGCAGCCCACTCACGACACCGATGCGATTGTCGAATTGCGCTCGCCGCTGCTGCCCGTCGCCGGCCCAAGACGCCTCGCCATCGTCTTTGCAACGTCACGCTTGCCTCTGAAGCCAACCGTATTAGCCGGTGTCGCCGCCATTTGCGTGAGCAGTGGACTGCCCACAGATTGAGCTGCAAAAGTTGAGCTGCGGCATCCTGGCGTTGCTTTTGGCGAATGCGATCGCTGGCACGTCGACCCAAGTAACCTCGCCACACACGTTGCAGCGTTCGGATGGCAGCCTTCGATCGAGTCCAGCGCACCCGGTCCACAAAGTACCGTCCGAGCCGTTGGATCCGCTGAGCCGCATGCGTGTGCCTCCAACGGGTTGCACGACGTCTGGCAGCTCGACCTCGAAATATTCTTTGGATTGCCGTCGCCGCCATTTCACGCCGAGATCGCAGGACCCGCGTCGATGCTTGCCACCCGCGAACGATCCTCTTCGTCACAACGTTGTGAGGGAATTGGCAGCCGAAGAGCTTCACTGAATCCAACCTGTATTTCGACAGCAGCGGCGGTCCCTTCCAGAACCTGCTCCTCCTCCATTGCCCGCTTCAACCGTGGCCACGTTAAGGCAAAGTAGCTGTGCTGCCACGAACGCAATACACGCATGGCATGGACATGCTGCGCTCGACGAGTGTGGGCGATCAGACGGCTTTGCAAGAGCTCCTCGAGCTCTCGAAAGTGAAATTCGTGTGCTGTCGGGATGCGCTGAGTGGTATACGTGAGAACATGATGCGGACGATCAAGAAGGATTGGACATACCTGAAGCACTTGGAAGGAGATATCGCCAAGGCCGTACATCTGAACGGTGCGCACCATCGCCTTGTGTACGTGAGTGCCGGCCGTGAGGTCGTCCCAGTTCTGGCTTTGGGCATTCGCGAGGTCCCACGTCGAGCCTGCTCATGGGAATCAAACTGGTAAGTAGAGATGGCAGACTTGCGAGCACATTCCAAAAAAGGCGTGGCCTGTGTGGTGGTTGCGCAGAACGTAAATTCCTGCGTTGATTTCCGTGTGGACCTTGACACGTGGCTTGGTTTTCTTGCCGGTCCCTCGACTTTCAGTTGCTACGTTCATTGCAGTGTGCCAACGACCCACTTCTTTTCATTCGCACCATTGTCGTTGCCGTATTCGAATCGCTTGGACTTGGAAAACGACACGACGAGACCGTCTCGAACGGGCCTCACTGGCGGCATCGCCTTGGCTGGACGCTCTAGATGAACGCAGCACCCACCGATGGGTTAGCAAGATGAGGTCAAAGTTAGTTTGGTCGTACGGGTGCATTTCACGAGCTTTTTCTTGCGCTTGAGATCACCTAGGGCTGGGCATGAATTTCCCGTGCGAATGTGCCATCGAGGTATATACCCTGGATGACGTCAAATGCGAAATCTACTTGAGGGTGATCCTGCAAAAACGTGTGTGGAAGCTCTCGGTGGGGGACTGCATCGCTCCGCCTCCGCTTCATCGTCGCATTTGTTGCGACCGCCAGTTACAGGCTGAAACCGTCAACACTCGGTGAAACGCTGCCATGTCGGCGGCGGCGCCGCCAATCTGGCGCGGCGCGCGCGACTTGATCCAGGTGTCACCGACGCTTGTTACCGAAGGAAGCATCGTCATCCCATGTGACGTGGAAGTGTTCGAGGTTGAACGACCCAAGTACGCGATGGAATTTCGCGTTTCCACTCGTACACAAAGGGGTAACACCATCATAATGATTACCAGACGAGGTCGTTTGAAGTGCTGATCCTCGTAGCGTCCTCTATCGTGCGGTCCGTCAACACGAACGACGTGGCGCAGTGTGTGAGACTTTCAACGAGACCATGTCGTGCGCCGCACACACATCCACAGCACGTGGCAGTCGACGTGAAGCAAGCAGATCGAGCCATTCAATTGTGGACGACAAAGCACAAAACCCCTGCTCGTCAAGACTTGATCGTGTGGCTCCTCGAGCGAATGGTGCTGGTGTACTCCGAGAGCAATCCGCTGCAACTTGCCCTGACCCACGAACTCGGCCCCATGACTGCAAACAAGCCAAGCGACTGGAGCGCCCCAATACCACGTCACCAGGTCCAGATACCTTCACTACTTCTCTCACTTCCTCGACAGGGTGCAACAAGCGACGATGACTGGGACGAAGACTTGCCGTGCTTTGCAGCCCCAGCCTACGACGTTAGCACCGCCTCGGACGGCGACGAGGACCTGCCGCCATTTTCTCCACCCAAGCGAATGGAAATCCTTTCGCAAGAATTCAAGTCGCGAGCTCGTACATCTATCGTACTCGAAATTGACGCCAGCGTTGTAGAAACCATCACAAAGACTCGGCCGACAACACCAACGATCCGCCTGACGAAGAGCACGACATGCCGACGCGCCGCAAACACGCAGCTCACGACCGTCGTGCTTCGTCGGCTGCGCATGGCACGCAGCCGTCCAGCTCGTGGGCTGACGATTCGTGGCGCGTCGTGCTGGAACTGAAAAAGTCCAAACTCGACATTGAACGCGCCCAGGAGGTTCAGCGAAAGCAAGACATGGTCGCTGCTGCCCGCAAGCAGCGCCTGTTGGCTGCGGCGTCGAAAGTGCGCACCCAGGCCAAGATCGACAAGCAAACGAAGAAATTGGTCGTCGAAGCGACGTGCGACGCCATCGAGTACCACAAAGTACGTGGCTGCGATAGCTGCACCTCGGGTGACGTGGCTTGGACCTTAGGTGCTGGACAACGTCGAGCGTCAAACCAAGGTGAAATACATCCGCCACTTGCGCGAACACGAGCGGACGACGCGATTTCTACGCACGGGGCACCGACACAAATGGACCAAAGGTAGCACAACTTAAAGGTGGGTCCATCCTGCGTCATAAGTTCCCGTTCATGGGTAGGCGCGTGGTTGGGCCCAGGGCCGCACCCCACCACCGTGTACGCGACCCCTCCAACCGTCATCCCGTTTGTCTACGACGTCCACGGGCGCCGCCACGAGGTGGACCGTGCCGCCGACGTCGCGTCGCAGAGTCTTTTTGACGCCGCCATGACCAAGATCCAGCGGGAAGCAGCCAAGGCCGGCAAGCACTTGGTCGCGTACTTTCAGCGGTACGACGCTGACCGCAGCGGCACGTTGACGGTCGAGGAATTCCGCGCGGCACTCGCCGATTTGCACGTGGCCGTGACCGGCGATCAAGTGGACGAGTTGTTTGCGTATTTTGACCGGAATCACACCGGGGCCATCGATTACGGCGAAGTACGCTCGTTGTGCCATGGGCATATATGCGTTCTCACGCCGTGGCGCTGTAGTTTTTGTGGTGCTTTTTCAACCGACGCGCGTACATGAAGCAGTGGAAGGCGACGACCTCGCGCGTGTCTGTCTCGGCGCTCAAGCAAGTGTTTTACAAGCACGACAGTCGGCGCAAGGGCGCGATCACATCGCGGGATTTTCTCGTTGCCATGAAAGAGCTCGGGTTTGCGTTTTCCCCCATGGACGAAGCGCTGATCGTGCACAAGTTTGACGCAAACAGCGACGGATTCATCGACTTTGACGAGTTCTACGAGGCATTCACTCAAACACACGAGGCAACAGCAGTCGAGAAAGCCCCCACACAGCTAAAACGACACGCATCCGCCACGACTGGCGGCCGGACAAAGGACGCCTCGATCATGTCCCAGCTAGACGATCTTGTCCAAGTGCAGAGCCGCATTCACAACATGCTGAAGCTTTAGTGTTGTTATCAAACTCTCTGTGGTGTGTCCGTGGATACTGGCAACGGAGCGAGTTGGTCAAGAGGCCACCGTGGCGCGTACTTGGTGGCGGTCGGGTCGTCTCGCACACCGCGAAGGTATCGTTCCATGCCTGCCCATGCCACCATGACCCCATTGTCGGTGCAGTACCTAGCATAGAATGAGCGGCTGTGGTTCCATCGCCGCGTGAATGCGCTTCACCGAATCGGAGGAAACACAGCGGTGAGCCCTACAAACGACGCGCCATGGATGCATCGTTGGCTCTGGCCATCGAAATCGCAACTCGGACACACACCTTGTGAAGTCGCCAGCGCCTCGAGCTGAGTTCGTACAGACGCATTTGCCGCTACGCCACCACACACCACCTACGTTCTTGCACACTAAACACGTTTTCACTCGGACGTGCCGCTCTTCTCACCAAGTGCTGCAAACCTTGCGTCGATTCCTTTGTGAGCTCACACGCCCGACGAGTCCGCGTGACTAAGTGGGCGATCGCCGTGCGCTATGTACGACATAAACATTGTCCATTCGCGGCATGTCCGCCGCCACGAGAGCACGCACTTGGAAGGACGCAGCCAAATCTTGCTTGGTCGCGACGTCCAACGGCTCGTGCTACGTCGATGACACTCTAAACCTCCCGTGGAGCCCGTCGCCACCCACCTGGGCCACGTATCGAACCATGGCAGTTTTCAATCCAGAGAATGAAAAGTCGCAGTCCTGTCGTGCAGCCGCGCGGTTCAAGTGATATCAATGGATGGCGAGTTGCTGCCGCCGCACCTTTCTCTGCTTTTTCTTCATGGGCTCCGTGAATGCAAACGCCCGCGGGTTTCCCTGCGCGGCAAACTCTTCGACGAGCTTTCCGCCGTGGGACGTGGTCGAGTCTGTGGCTAACGACAACATTCGAGCCACCTTGTCGAATGCTTCGCCCACAGAGTCGTCGACGGTGTTGCCAACAACATCGTAGTTGGCAATGTCCTGGCAAAGGTACGATCGATCAATCCAACAGATTGCTGCGATCGCCGACCTTGGCCAACACGAGAGAGCAGTGCCCCCCAGACACGAGCAGCACCAGAAATGGAAACGCTAGGTCCTTCTGCACACGACGAGTTAGTCGCCGACACCCCAGACGGCCCCTGGAAGACCAATTCGAACGGTGAAAACCGCTGTTTCGACCTGGAACAGCTTTGGAACCAACGCGTGCGCCTATGCTGCAAGTTAGGTGAAAACCCACAAGGGAATGCGGCACGCCTCGAGGTGATTGATGGCGAGGAAGTCCAGCTTGTGGTCGGCGGCAAGTTGAATGGCTGTCGACAGCCCCACGTTTAAACACGGAGCTAAACCTGGGCCACTGGTCACTGCCACGGCAGACAGACTGCTGTAGCCGCCTTGCAGCCCACTGACCGACGATAAGGTACACAGAGATGTGGATTGTAAATGAAGGCGGATACCTCTGACGCATGGCCTCGTCCAAGACAAGCGGCAAGTTTTCCACATGACTTCGCGCGGCCAGCGCAGGAACAATGCCTGATACACCACGTCAACGACACATCTCGAGGTCAACATTGCACATCACCTTTCCATTTTTGAATCATCTCCCACTGCGATGACACGACTTCGCTCAGGATCTGTCCATTCGAGTCGACGATCGCGACGGCCGTGTCGTCGCAACTGCGGCAACCACGTCAAATGTCGTCAAGTCGCTTCACGTATGTACCTTGTTTCGATGCCCAAGACATAGGATATCCTGCGACGCAGACCTGCTGCTGCTGCGCCACCACTCGCATGTTTCGCCAATATCGACGGTCGCATCGCGGCGCGGCAGCGAAAGCCATGCATCATGGCTTGCAACTCTTGGTGATGCGATCGACGAACTTGTCCGGATATTTATCCGGAATTCTCTCTCGACGAAAACGTCATGTGTCCACCAAGCAACGTCGGCGATGTGTCTGCCGTCCGCGAAGGCGACTGTCCGTGCCTTCGTCATGGTCGACTTGCGTGCGAGGAAGGGCCTAGATAGATGGACGTGCGGTATCTGGCCCCGGACAAAGACGGACACTACTTGTTGAAACTACGACATTCTGCACATTAGACTACATGAGCGCGCACTTGCCCTTGTCGCTTTCCTCGACAAATCGGTCGATGTCTTCTTCCGTGATCTTTCCATCCTTCTTGGGCGGGTACACAGCATCCACGGTAATGTCTGCCATGTCCTTGCGGACGTAGAAACATAAATACGCTGACGCCGACACCACTTTGCTCTCTTCGATCAACCGCACGCGCTCGTCGTCGTAGCAGTACCAGTTCCCGTCCATGCTATTCTTTGCGTACGCGGTATAATGGCCTCCACCGAGCGCGCCCTGGTGGTTCACGACACCGTACAAGTCATAGTGTGTCTCCAAACACCGCGCCTGCTCCAAGTTGGTGTTGGTGTAGCCCCTCCGGACACGGTTCATGTTGGGTGCGGGAGATGAAGCGAGAGCAGCGACGGTCGTCGCGGACGCCGGTTCCTTGACTGGGTGCTCGTCGTGGGTCGGTTTGTTTTCCGCGGTCTCGGCGGGCTTCTTGTCGGGGTATTTGACCGGGAACTCTTCAAATGGCGCAACGCACGACGCCAAGTCGAGGCCGTGGACGGGAAATTGAACCAGCGTCCCTGGGACCAGTGTCAGGCTGCGATCCGTCGCGGGGGCGGGCGCGTCCTACCGAGTTTACGGCGGTACGTTTGCGTGTATTGGAACCGCTTGAGCTGGACGACCATGACGGGCGGGAGGCGCCATATCTCGAGCTTTTTGGTCATTTCTTGATGGCCCCGGCAGCTCGAGCAATATGTCTAGTCGTAGTCGATGGATGGTGAGCGGCGCCTTGTCGATCGAGACGCGATGGATGGCGGCGGGCTTCGCAACGTACCTCGGGGATCTTTTCCTCGAGACTAAACGCGTCCAAGCAGTGGCTTAGTGGCACCGGTCCATGGTCCAGCCCGTCGTTCTTGGCCACACTCGGGTGCACGTCGACCGCTTTCATCTTGTCGACGTCGACTTCCTCCTACCAGACCGTGAATGCGCCGCCGATGCCGCGACCATGGGATTTTTTATACCTGGAGGACCTTGACGTCCCAGTCGATGGCGATCGATTCGTCGTCGAGCAAGTCGACAAAGTCTTGGTTGCACGGAATCGTCCACCCAAACGATCGCACGAGCCATGGCGTGCGCGAGTCCGTGATCCCCTTGGTCTCGACGCGGCGCAGCAAAAACGGAATGCCTCGGGCCGGGCCATCTTGGTGGCAAAACAACTCGTCAATGTGCTGCACGGGCCCAGACACGTTGTGCGGACGCACGGCGAGGCCACTGACTGCCGTCGATCGTTTCAAGAAACGGTGCACGCGCTCCCATACCATCGCGTACAACTCGGCCCCGGTCGTCATTTCGGGGCAGACGCGGACAAGGTCGGGTGTGCCGAACGGCATTGGGCGGAACGGGTTCTTAAAGTACAATGGGGAATACCCGAGCTTGCGTGAAATGACGGGACAGTAGAGGAGGCGCGCCGCGCGGGCCTTGACTCGATGCTGTGGCACGTTTTCGTCGACGTCGCCGTGGCGCAGCTGGACGGCACACACAAAGTTGACGTTGTCGACTGTCAAGATTGTGCCTGGCACCCACTCGCCCTTGGATTGAACTTCGACCAACATGTGGGGGGTGAGCGGGTCCTCCGTGCGCGGCGCGTCGTCGACCGGCCCGTCCTTGTTTGGACTCGAGGTTTCGTACGGCGCCAACGACGGCCGCCGGAACCGCGTGGCATCGGCAATGCGCGGTGCCAACGGTTCGAGCTGGAACGCAATCAAGCGGTCGATGCTGCGGATTTGGCCGAGCTTCCGATTGTCCGCCTTGAATCCGACAATCTGCGACCCGGCAAACTCGCAAATCTTGATGTCGGACACGGTCAAATGTTGCAGGCCGAAATCCGTCATGCACACGTCGACAAGCTGCATCTTGAGGTCGACAATGGTCGCGTCGATACTCAAACGCAGGCTGAGCTTTTGCGGCATCCGCGAGCCGGCAAACACAACCGGGATCGTCACGTTGTTGTGGGTCGGCTCCGGGAGCGGCACTTGCAAAAACGTGAACGGCTCAAACCGCGCCGACTTGAATCCGCACGCGCTGCATGTCAAGAGCGATTTGTACTGCCCCGTGAAGAGCGCGACCACGATCGAGACTTCACGCTTGAGGTGGTTGCGCCACCACTCGTCGGCCAAGTCCGAGTCATACCGGCCGTCCGAGTCGGGCTGGGAAATGTACGGCTTGTCGTGGATCCGGTTCAAGTCTTCGCTGAGCCCGCTGAGAAGGAACGCAATCAGCTCCTGTGCATCTTGCTGGTCGGTGCCGCGGAATGCCTCGTTAAACTTGCCAATGGTCTTTTTGAATTCCCGCGGCGATATGTTCTTAAACTTGGTGCTCCACATGTCCTCGGACAACTTGCCAAACGCTTCGGCGAGTTTTCCCTGCATCCCGAGCGTCGACGTTCGGTTGATGTCGTCCATGTACATGCCCGACAAAAAGTAGTCGATGAAGAGCGGCGTGTTGGCAATACACTGCAGCGCAGAGTTCATGTAGCACGTGTTGCACAGGTTCAGGAGGCCGACGGACCCGCCTGCGCGCACTCGCTTGTACTTGGACGCGGTCACCGCCATCGCCAACGCGTCGGCAGCCTCCACGGGCTTGTCAAAACCGGTTTTGTCGGCCGCGTTGTCGTTCATCGCTCGTTGCTCCGATCGCCACAGATCCAGAGTTGCGCGACCGTTGGCCAGCACGACGACAGTCTGCTTGATTTCGGGCCCGCCGCCATACCACGACTTGAGCGCTCGCCACAGCGGTTCGCACACGATTGCAAAGTGCTTGCCCGCAACCATGTCGTCCGTGGGGCTAAACACCTTGTCTTTGAGCAGCGAAATGTTGCCGATATACTTGGGACGAACGACGTTGTTGTCCGTGTCGAGAATCGTCGCGAGCGCCGGCGGTGTCGTCTGTGGCTTGGGTGTATCTGTCGTGCGCGGTCCATTGTCTGGTTTGGGCTTGGCTGCCTTGATCAAGTTGCTAAATGCACCACCGCTTTCCTTCTTCTTGTCTGGGCTCGGTGGGGACGACGTCAGCTTTGCCGGCGAGCTCTTGGGGACCGCCGACGGTGGTGGCGGTGGCGCCTTGGGCGACGGGTTCGTGTGGAGGTCCAAGGCTGGAATGAACTCGACGTAGCGCCGCCAGTGCTCAAACCAGACGGGCTCGACTATGTACCAGTTTTCGCCTTCAACCAACGCCGACGGGTCGTACTTTTGGTAGCACAGCTTGGCGACTTCAACCTCTTCCTTCTTGTTGGCCGGAATCACGCCGAGGTCGACAAACACAGCGCGTTTCATCAAGTCGAGCGCAGCGATTTGAAATTGGCGGGACGTGGCCCACTTGGTGAAGTGGTCGAAGGTCCAGCACGAGTTGCCGTCATGGCCGATCGTACTCAAGAGCAGATCGACGTAGAGTCCGATTTGAGCGCTCGACACCACGGTGGACGTGCCATGTTCCGCGTCAGTCTCAAAGTACGTGTGGATGTGCTGCTCGAGCGGCGAATGGAGCACAACTTCAAGCTGAAGCATGGCAAACAGGTCGTCGCGCGTCATTCGATTGGCGGTTGAGAACACGCAAAAGCCAAACTTGGTTTTGTCTTCGGCCGTGCCTCGGCACGCGATGTGGAGTGCATGGACAAAGCTAAAGATGTCAATGTCGACACCATTCGCACGCGGACCAAACGATGCAAACGCGGTCACGAGGCGCGCATCCGAGAATTGGAGCGGGAAATCGGCCGCCAGCAGTTCCAAGTCGATGCAACTCGACGATGCCCCGACCGAGTCGACCGCCGACGATCGATACGCCATGAACGCATCTTGGAGCATCGCAATGTCGGACGCGTTGAACGACGTTTCCTTTTCAATGATCTTTTGCTGCACGACCGGGTTGTAGTCTTCTTGGAGCTCCAGCAGCGTCGGGCTCGCGGTCTCGCACAGTATCTGCATGAACGGTGGCATCCAGTCCAGCACGAGGCCGACATGGTCAAGAGGTTGGGACAGCATCGCATGGACAAAATCGTCGGCGGTCAGCCTCGTGCGACCGTAGTCAAACAGTTCGTTCACGAGCCGCTTGTACTCTGGCTTGTCGATCACGGGCCGGCCGTGCAGACTCACGAGGAGGTTGCTCAGCCCCGTGCTTTGGAGCTTCCCGAGGTGGTCGTGGTCGCACATGTTGAACAAAAACACGAGCTGGTCTTCGGTCGACCCGTGCCGCAGGATCGCGACGGCGCGGAGAAACTCGTCGACCGAGATGTCGTTGGACGTTTTGTCACTGAATCCTTTCATGAATCGAATGGCAAACGTCGACGGCATGTCCGGAAATACGCTGAGGACGTCCCGACGGAACGCAGCCTTGCTGATCATGTTGTTTGACGACGACACGTCGTCGCACACAAATGTGTGCACTACCAACCCCCTGCCACCATCGTCTACCAACGCCCCAGACAAACAAGACGGTGGTGGGACAGCGGGCGATGCGGTCGAGACCGCCGCACCCTTGGGCGAGCTGATGTTGGACGTAGGGTTGGGATGCGTCATTTGTGCCTTGGACGTACACAAGCGCTGGAACGCGACTTGGACGTCAGCCAATTCGTCCGGTGCCAACAGGTTCTTCATGCGCTTCATGTCGACTTCCTTTTGCTGGCGCCGCTTCTTTCGATCGTATGACTCGAGGTGGGCATACACGGCGAGGAAGTTAAAGATGGGCATTTTCATCAGCGGCTGGACATTCAAGATGTCCTTGAGGTACTTCTCCAGGTCGAGGCGGCGCTGTTCGATCACGCTTTGCGTCTTGCCGCGAAAGTAGTGCTTCTTCGGGAACGCAAGATTCCGCACGGTTGCGTTGGCCTTCTTCATGCGGTCGTGGAAGTCGCGAAAGTCCGAGTATCGCTTCTCGATCACCCACCGCAGTCCGCTCACGAGGCGCACCTCCAACGTAAACACCGTGTGCGTGCTCTTGTCGTCTTCAACTTCCTTGACCCCGTCGGGCGGGAGCGTTACCGACTGAATTTCGACCTGCAAACTCGTCGACACCAGACCAAACGATGGAGGAGGCCCCGTCGATGGCAAGGAATGCTTGCGATCGACGGAATTCGCTGTCACGGACCGATTGAAAGAAGGAGGGCCGCCATGCGTGTCCCACGTATGCAATTCGTGGGCGCTGTATGTGCGTTTTTTGTCGAGCGGATCCAAGTTGTGCGGCGGCGTGGACGAGTCGGACAGTCCCGAGCAACTGTGCGAAGTTGAAACACTATCCGGGGACGAATTCACCGAGCTGGATGATGGCACCGAGCTGGAGCTCACGGACGTCAAGCCTTCACGGGCTGGATCGCGGATTGGAATGACAAGTTTGAGGAGGGATGGAGGTCGCTCTTTGGCGTCTGCACTGCTGGTATCTTTGTCGCCTGCAGGAGACGGCGCAGCTACGTTCGTTTTTGCGGGTGGTTCGACACAGCTACCGTTCGTGTACGTCGACGACGACGTGGGAGGCACAGAGGAGGGAGATACGGCGGGCACGTCGGTCTTCTCTCTGTCCTTGTCGATTGCGCTCATGCTACTCATGGAGCCAGGACTCATCAGATTACGACCGCATTCGAAACAATCGGACACGGACGTACCTCTCGTGCCGGCAGTCGGTCCTCAGCACGTCGGCGCTGCTCAGGAGTCCAGGGACACACACAAAGTGGCTGAATGGCGAAATCCGGATAACACTCGACCATACGCTCAGAATCAGGCGTGAGGCGTACACTTATTTATTCCCAACCCACATCTAGTGTGAACTGTGTCCGATGCCACCGCTTTCAACACCAGTTTCCACGTGCGCTCCACACAGTCCAATGCGCCAGCGCATACACCAGTCGACACGTCGGCAGTTCCCGCAAAATGCCGTCGATTATGCACGTGGTCTTGCTTGAGGCCGGGGCTGAAGTAGATGAGTGATTATTTATTGGATCCGTTACGTTTCAGTGAAAACTGGTAGTTTGTATCGATTTGCTGACGTTTGTAACGGACTTCATTTATTCCACCTCGCAACTTCAACCCATGTTCGCGACACACACATCGACGGTGTGTTGGGGAGCGCAGGGCGACATCGTTGCGATGCGTCCCATGGATCTCGATGCAGTCTCTGGACGACCCCGGACGGATTCATCGGAAGCCACCTCACTCTGCTGAACCTATAGACTCAGGTTGATCCACTGGCGAGTTACCAGCAGACACCCGGTGATCCTGTTCGACGATGATGCCGACGATACGTTGTGAATCGACGAGGGTACCGTATGCTCCGCCGTGCGTGGCGGCGGACATGCCACACGACATATTGATCTCTGTCGCTTATAGACTCTGAATAGCACATCGGGCACAGCACCATCCACTCGTGGCATGACCATGACAAGTGAACGACGACCTCACGTGATCGCAGCCGTGAGTAGACACGGGATGTTACGCCATTCGCGACAGTTAAAACGGCGCATGCGGCGGTAGCATTATTGGAGAACGGCGCGCCACCAGCGACGAATGCATCTTTTTTGTCTGGGCAACGGTACTGACGACCAGGGCATCCACCCTCCAACCGATTCAATGGCCATGACTCATTGAACCCGATTCAAGCATGACGCATACAAGAAATCCGCGTTTGCACAAGTCATTTACGCCGACACTACGTTCGTTTCCATCGTCACGATGCACTAAAATAGCGAGTAGTTCTACACACGGATCGATGAGCAAAACGCCATCACAAATTGTGCGATTCCATGATAATAGCCGTACCGAGGATGTCGGGGGCGGTTGACGTGACGTAGCTTGTTGGGCCGCTTGAGCTGCCAGGGACGACGCTGACGCGCGATGGAGCTGCTCCGTTTGTCTTTGCGCATCCAGTCTGGCTTGGGCGTGAGCCATGTTGTGTCGCACTTCGTCGTCGTCAGCTTGACGAGCAGCGATTTGGTCTGGCGTGAGCTGTCCGAATTTCGCACCACATCCAGGGCAAAACTTTGCGTATGGTTTGCATTGAAAGCGACACTGGGGGCAAGGTAGACCTCCGGACGTGGCTGACACTAGGGGAATGGCACCGGCGAGGGCTACCGATGACTGAGGTGGAGCCGCAACCACTGCAGCAGGAGGTGCTACTGCACCAGATGGGGCGCCACACTTTGGGCAAAATTTGGGGGTCCCGTTGAGAGGTGCAAAGCACGAAGCGCACGTTCGTACTGGCGAGGGTACGGCGGCAGGAAAGGATGTCGACGTGCTAGCCGGAGGAAGCACCGGTGCACTCGATGACGATGATGGGGCACCACACTTTGGGCAAAATTTTTGGTTCGGTTTGAGTGCCGCATTGCAGGCAGCGCACGACACGTCTATCTTGGAGGGCACTGGAGCCGCAGGAGAAAGTTTGACCATGTCCGAATCGACGCGCTTGAATCCGCACTTGGGGCAGAATTTTTGGGTGGCTTTGCATGGAGCCTGGCATTGCGAACACGGCGCGTTCGACACACTCAAGTCGCGAACGCTACTGGTTGACAAAGTGGCAAACTGTTGCTGCTGTTGCAAGTGGAGCAAGCTGGATTGTTTTTGTAATCGGTTTGCTTCGGCGGTGATTGCGTCCAACCGAAGCTGCTCGGCTTTGGCTCTCGCTGCTTCAGCATTGCGTTCAGCGGCTTCTCGTTGCGCTCGCGCCTCATTGGCCCGTGCAATCTGTGCATCGCGCTCTCGCTGCTCTTCCCGCAACCGCCGAGATTCCTCTCGTTCAAGCGCTTTTTGTTGCTGTACCCGGCGTTGCTCCTCCAACGCTGCTGCTGCAGCCATTGCTTTGCTGCGCAACGCTTCGGCGGCGGCTTTCGCCTCCATTGCTTTCGCCTCGGCATCTTCCCGAGCCTTTCGAGCACGATCCGCTTCAGCTAAATGAGACGCTCGCAGACGTTCCATCTCGAGCTGGCGTTGTTGCTCCAGTTGCCTCAAGTTCTCTTCTTCGCGACGGCGGTTTTGCTCTTCCATCAGCCGCGTGGCAGCGGCGGCGTCTTCGCGGAGCTAAGACGTCAGGTAACAATTTTCTGGGCTCTCACTCCATGCTTACCTTTATGGCGCGCTTTCTCGCTTCTTCTGCTTGGCGTTCGGCTTCTTCTCGCTTCGCGTGGGCTTCACGTTGCCGGGCCATGATGTCATCTCGCTGACTTGCGGCTTGGGCGAGGCGATGCTGCTCTTCGAGACGGTAGGAATCTTCCAGCCGTCGACGTTCCGTTTCCTCGAAGAGAAGGGCTGCCTTGGCTGCATCTTGACGTGCTTGTTCCGCCAATTCACGAGTGGCAATCGCTTTTCGCTCGGCATCGATCCGGTGGGACGTTGGAGCTGAAGGTGCAGACGGAGCCATTGCAACCGATGCGTCTCCAAAGAGACCAGCATTGCCGCTGGCTAGAGCACCGCATTCGGCGCAAAACTTGCCCCCCTCGTCTTTCGCACCACACTCGCCACAGAAACCCATGCAGAGATCGGGGTCGTGTTGACTACCTGTGAAGAAAAATTACAAACTTGAAGGAATATCCATAATATGTCCAACTGGGATATTTGGATGAGCATGTTAGCCCCCTTCATGAGTTATTATGAACC